TCAGAGTTCACTAAAGCATGTGTTACTATACCATCAAGATTTCATTAAAATTTGATACACAGGTGCAAATCTGTTTAGACTAATGACATATTTTTGCTTCTATCTGTCCAGATGTTGTTGTTTATCATATTTATACTTAGTTTTTCTTTAGCCAAAATATATCAGTGGTCAAACTGTAGAAATGTTCATTTCTTTTGATAAGCAAATTCTTCTAGTGCCGCTAGTCTATAAACAAATGAAGATCATTAACATTTTCAAAATGACAGCTATTTTACCCCATAAAAAGGTTACTACACGGGCAGTACATGTAAATGCTAAATCTGTTGACATCATTTTGAGTTTCAAAATTATTCAGAGTTTAACAGAATTTGATCGTCGCATTTAGGTAATTATATTTTCTCAAATAAAAACCTGAAGCCATATTTTACCATAACATGGTATTATATGGTCCAATGATTTCCTTTCCCAAGCCATAAAAACCCATATTGTCTGGCAGAATACTTATTCCTTCTGAAACCATAAAGTACCATATTTTGTGGTCCTGAGGTTATGATAAAATAAACGTGTATTCCCAAACCATATTTTACCATAACATGGTATTTTATGGACCAACGATTTCCTTTCCCAAGCCATAAAAACCCATATTATCTGGCTGAGTACTTATTCCTTCTGAAACCATAAAGTACCATATCTTTAATTTTTACTGTAGCCATATAATGCCATAAGATAAATGCCCTACGTTCTGCACAATCTGAACGCATAAAATACCATATAATTGATTTTAGACTGGAAACACCCCAAGCCATACAAAACCATATTTTGGGGGGTAACATTTTTTTTGGACCCCCCCCCCCCCAAATTCAAATTCTCAAGTAGCATAGTTACTTGATAAACCATGACTTACTCTTTTAGGCAAGTTCACTTTTATCTCTGGTTTCATGATTTATTAACAAAATTCACAGCTGTCATGTTTATCGTAATTAGCATATTTTTGTAACCCTCCTCTAATCGTACAATTTAATTTATGTGTCTGAATTTCATGAAATGAGAAGACAATATTCTATTCTAAATGGAAAACCAAGTTTAATGTCAATTTGATTACTTAAAAGGCAGTACTTGACAATTGAAATTGGTTGAAATTACACAAAAAGTCTTGGCTAGTTAGTGTGAAATGTATGCTGGGAAAATAGGTGTCCATTTTTCACATGGTATTTTATGGCATCGGTAAGAAGAGGGATAAAGATATACTGATGGTATCCTCACTATGAAAGCACTACCAAACAAACAAACTCAGAAGGTGATGATTCAGCAGTTTGGGGGGCTGAGATTTATTTTTTATGTATATGTATTTTTTATAAAGTTTATAGTTAAAATTTATAATTTTATAAGAATTTACATTTATTTTATATTTAAATACGTAAGAAGATTTATTAGTTGTAAAGAATGATTTGTGCCACTCTTCATAAAATGATACAAAGTGTTGACAGAATAGTGTATAAGTGTATCATTAAATGGATTTTTTCACTCTAAATTTTTAGTTTCATTTTATGATCGTGGTAATGCTTGTTGTTTTATTTTTTTATCAGATTTTATGAGTATTAATTATCATAGCATTAGTGCTGGATGTAACTATGGTAACTGATGAAGATTCAACTCAAATAATTTGATGCTCACATCGAATAAGTTGCATACATTACTACCACAGTTTTACAGTGTGTATTTACATAAAAGAACACAATACAGGAATGACAGGCATTGCATTCTGGGAATATAATTCTTGCCTCAACTGTCTTGGATAAATGACACCAAGAAAGCGATAAATCTAGTAAAATTGAAATGACAAATCTGAACTTCCATTGAAATTATTTGCAGCATTTCATTACTGGTTTCATTTCATTTATTTGATGTCATTCTACTGTATATCATCCCCTACTGATAACAAACATGATGCTACATGGAATGTTGAAATATTATACTTTTTTTTTATCTTTTATTTGTGATTTGTACATAAATTTCACTAAGTTGATTATGCTCAAAATATTACCTGTACCCTAGAATCTATGCATCGTTTACTATATAGACTACACCATTAATGATGCAACATCAATGGTGACATCCAACCATAGTGAGAATAATACAAGGCAATATTGCCCCGGTTACACATGTCAACAATGTTGATGCCAAATTTAGAACAATTTTAAATGAGCTAAATATTATTTGCTGTTTTGGGATGTTTTTAAGATATGATTAAGATTTTAATTCATTGAACCGTTTTTTCTATTCTTATTATTGATGTTCTTTTTTTATCGCAGGTATTCTTTTGGTTAAAATTAGAAATAATTTCTACAGAACATTTACTAGGCTGATTATGCTCAAAATATAATCTAGAATCCATGGTTTGTTTACTATACAGACTACACCAATAATACCTTCCTATAGTGCTAGTAATATTTCATTACAAATCTTGATTTTTATACATGTCACACACTTATGGGATGAGTAATACCATACTCTATGTTCAAAGGCCACTTTGAATTGGCATGCTTGGAATATCCCATATATGTCTAGTATGTATGTTAATAGAATTTTTTTCAATCAACTATTAATATCTAATGGTTAAACATGATGAGATATTACTAGCAATGTAGCTAGGCATTGTGGAATGGTCCATACATTCTTGGCTATTGTTCTCATCTCTGTAAAATGGAATACTTCGTTCAGTATCTGTAGTCAGTTTTATATTTCACTGTCAGTATTACCTGTGACTGGCCGAAATTAATTAATACCGTTGTTTGGTCATGAACGTTTAAAAAAAGATGCCATATTTGATCTGTTGCATCTGCAATAGAGATGCATGAAATCCAAAACTGGTGGGATTTATTTAAGAGAAACTTTGTGCATCTGATAGAGGAAATACAATCCCACAGTAATAGTATATGGCATATGAATTATACAGTCTTACCAATTTTGAAAATAATTTCATTATTTTTGTTGTTGTGTATGCTCATGTATAATGTACATTTGAACATTTTATTGAAAACTACAGAAAGCATGTTTCCTATTTTACAATTATGTATGAATAGACAGGTGAATTTTGAAATGTTTGTTGCAATAAAATCAGTCAAGTTTGGTTGTCTTGTATTTTTGTTTTCATTAAACCATCAGGTACCATAATGCAACATGAATAAATGCCAGAATACATATTTACAGTCATTAAAGTTGCACTTTTTAGTGAAAATTGGGATCAACATAATACATGTATCAGTTCAGTGATTATTTCTTAAGTTATGAATAGTTATCAGTCAAATCCTTCAGGTACACTTTAAAGCACTGCAGCGTTGAAAGCGTCTTGTTCTAATTGTAATGTACACAATATACTGCATGTACAATGTGAAAGCATGAAAAAAATGTAGATGTTTATAAATTTCAATTGATGGTTTGAAAACAGCATAACCAATCACAATGCCTAAATTAAGAAGCAGAATACCACCCAGATATAATGTTTTTCACATTCATGGCAGTTGGCTTGGCCAATAATTGAAAGAACCTCCACTGCCTTGTCAGTAATGGACATTGTCAAACGGTTCTTTACTGCAGAATACCGCCCATATAAAATTTGTTCACATGCATGGCAGTTGGCGTGGCCAATGATTGAAAGAACCTCCACAGCCTTGTGGGTAATGGACATCACCAAACGGTTCTTTACCGCAGAATACCGCCCATATATAATGTTTTTCACATGCATGGCAGTTGGCTTGGCCAATGATTGAAAGAACCTTCACAGCCTTGTGGGTAATGGACATCACCAAACGGTTCTTTACCATAGAATACCGCCCATATATAATGTTTTCACATTCATGGCAGTTGGCTTGGCCAATGATTGAAAGAACCTTCACAGCCTTGTGAGTAATGGACATCACCAAACGGTTCTTTACCGCAGAATACCGCCCATATATAATGTTTTTCACATTCATGGCAGTTGGCTTGGCCAATGATTGAAAAAACCTTCACAGCCTTGTGGGTAATGGACATCACCAAATGGTTCTTTACCGCAGAATACCGCCCATATATAATGTTTTTCACATGCATGGCAGTTGGCTTGGCCCATGATTGAAAAAACCTTCACAGCCTTGTGGGTAATGGACATCACCAAACGGTTCTTTACTGCAGAATACCGCCCATATATAATGTTTTTCACATGCATGGCAGTTGGCTTGGCCAATGATTGAAAAAACCTTCACAGCCTTGTGGGTAATGGACATCACCAAACAGTTCTTTACCGCAGAATACCGCCCATATATAATGTTTTTCACATTCATGGCAGTTGGCTTGGCCAATGATTGAAAAAACCTTCACAGCCTTGTGGGTAATGGACATGTCGCATACGACTTATTTACCACTTCCGTGTCACTGAGAATGTTCTAGAACCGTACTGTGTCTGGGTGGAATATTCTAGATTTTTTTAGAAACTGGTTGAATAGGTAATAGAACACTGTAGGAGGCAATAGAAGGTAATGGATCATTCTAGAGATTTATAGTAAATTCCAGACTCATTATGTATGCTGATGTAATGGTCTATTTATAGATAGTGTGGGTATATACAAATGTATAGGGGAGTTGTTCAGCACTGAGATCAGATCGGAGATCTCGTTGAATTGTATTGGAGTTTAAGTATCTAGTTATTGGAGGTTTGGAGTTTTACCGCGTTATTGTACTTGATGTTTGCAGAGTATAATAATACCAGTACCAGTTGAAACCTCATCTGTTGGCTCCGTGTTCGTATTTTATCATCGCCGCCAGGGAAGTCTTTCTGTTACTGTTGCCATTTTGGTATTTGAACCATCATACCTGTACTATACCAATTACGGTAATATTACGTTGCGTGTGACAGGACATCACCAAACGGTTCTTTACCGCAGAATACCGCCCATATATAATGTTTTTCACATGCATGGCAGTTGGCTTGGCCAATGATTGAAAGAACCTTCACAGCCTTGTGGGTAATGGACATCACCAAACGGTTCTTTACCGCAGAATACCGCCCATATACTAGTATAATGTTTTTCACATTCATGGCAGTTGGCTTGGCCAATGATTGAAAAAACCTTCACAGCCTTGTGGGTAATGGACATCACCAAACGGTTCTTTAGCCAATCAAGTGTCCCAGGTAAATAGTTCATATAAATAATTTATATTAATAAATTTCCACAAAAGCCATTCATTCCTTTATAAAATCTATGACCTTAAAGAGATATCTGTGAGAAAACTTTTGCACAATTAATTATGCAGAGAGATTGTCATTGGCTGGATAGCTCACTAGGGTTGCAGTAACTTTTTTAATTCACTGACTTGGGTAGCATTTATTGGCTCTGAGTGTACCTGTACCACAACAGAGCCAGACGTCCCATTGACCCTAATGTTGTATTCCTCTTTCGTAGGTAGTATGACACTGTGTCTTGTGTATGTTTGCAAAGACGATAGTTTTTTTTCTCTCCAATTTTACTTGATTTGACTATAGACCAGGCAGCCTATTGGGAAACATGATAGTTATTGTATGAAATCACTTAATGACAGTCAAATATGTCAAGTATAGTCTAAAAGCTTTGAATTAGCGATTGGTGGGTTTGATAAAAAGTTTTGGAAAGTTGTCAACAGCACGGTGAATGTTGGGAAAAAAAGTATCACATGATAAATGTCACATGACCATTTCAAAATGGCTGCTCCCAGAGGAAGTTTCTTAGTTGTTGTGCTGTTTATTTTATTGGTACATTGTAATTGCAAAAAACCATTATACATTTTAGATCCACTCTGGCCAAAAGAGCCTTCTAAGTTCAAAGGTCAAATTTTCAGTGCCGCCGTCGATGTCAACAGCGGAGAAGTTTACGTGACGCAGGTGAGTGTTTGATCCGGCTGGGGTCACGGCGGTACAGTCGCGGGGCGCGGGTGCAAGGTGGCTGGACCAATTTCGGTGTGTTGGAGTTAATCCAGAAATGGAGTAATTCCCAACTTTAATAGGAAACTCATTTCTACATAATTTGGTTACTTATTAAGAGAAATATCAAAAGAATGACACATTGACAGTTGACCTGGAGTATCTTGTTGTTCAATTATTGATACCAGTAATTATAGTAATCACAGTCCAACAACAGACTCTTTTTTTGCTATCCACGTACTGATAAACATCTGATTCACACATACGCTAAGCAGTAATAATCGGTGTAAAGTTGTTGAATATTCAGAAAAAATCCCACCACGCAGCCTATTACTAGTATGCAGATTTTCACTTGTACAGTTAGTGTAGGTGTCACTAAGAAGATCGCAGTGATGTGGAATATGTAGGGCTTCAATACTAAAATGGTACAATGTGTAATTGAACATCTAAACAAAGTTGGGATTCTAAAAATATAAAATTGTAATAACAAAAATTAAAATAGCCAACCAATACATAGATCATATTCTATGTTGGAAGTCAAAACAATCAAGCATTGTTAAATTTATCCATATTTATGCTGTTTACGAAAAAAATGGTGAAAATAAACGGCTATTTTAAAAGTAAAATGCAGCAATGAGGCATGGCGAATCTGCCTACCAGCTACTAACATTGTTAAACTGTCAGCCTGGGAAGAGAATTAACGAATTGAATCCCTACGTGATGGAAATAAAAGTGAGATAAAATGCTGATCATCTCAATCAACACAATGCATGTTGTTGTCTATATTCGAAAAAAAATCAACACAAATTTTTGCTAAAATAACATTGATAAACCTTTAAGTGAGAATTATAAAAAGTACTCCCACGAGCGAATTTCACTTTATAATTGCTAAAACTATTACTAGAATGTTTAAACTGGCAAGATTGGGTGAAAACCTCTGGAAAAGAAGACAAGGTGAAAAATGGCAGGCATGAAACCAACAAATTTATGCTACATGTATTTTGTATAGCTATGCTTCATGGAATACCATACGCCATAAATTTCTGCGGATGAGCCATTTCACACCTAAAACAATAGGAATTGCCAATTGCTTCGCACTGATGAGAATATCTGCATGAGATAATTATATAAATTTTGTGCTGCTGTAAAGTAGAAGCTATAAAAATAAAATTGCGAAGCCAGAAATTACCCTGCTGATCCTTCTAATGCCCTTATATTCCCAACCTGGAAGGAAAATAACAAGTTTAAGTTTTAAGTGTCAATTTTGAAGTTCTCTTACTTTGACTCATCAACAAGTAATATAATATCAGATGAGAACCACTTCTGAAAATTTAGCAATATTGTATTTTTTCAAGTTATCGTTTATGTTCCTGTACTGTAATATATTATACAGAGAGGGGAAGGTCTTGATCCAGTCATAGTGTTTTCAGAAGATGGAGAGTACAAAAGATCGTTTCCTAGCAACCGCAGTATCATAGATACAATACATGGCAGTAGAATGTACTTCAATGCTAGCAGTAACTCATCTGAACTTTGGCTCACAGACATTGGTAACTGTGAGTACACTAGTAATATTTTATTACATACATTATTTTATCACCTTCAACCTCAACATGCCAACAATGATGTTAAATCATTTCATAACATGACCATTTTGTTAACATTATTGTTTTATTGTATACTGTGCATAGTTTACCTGCATACCACAAACTTAGCTTGTTAATTTTAATTCGGTAGCTCTTCTCAGCAAAGCATGAACTTATTTTCACTAATTCATGAATTTTCAATGCAAGTGCTTTTCATCTTATTATTTGCATACTGCGCTATTAAAATTATGCAACAGCTCCTGTCAACTTGAGTATACCACTTGATATTGCACATTTCACAACACATATGTATACACTTATGCATCCTCTATGGCTCAATCATACATGTATACTGACTTTGATGGGGTTATTGCTATTATATTACCGGTATATCAACATTATTTTCCTATACTTTTTGTCAATGGAAAGAACACAAAAAACACTGAAAATTAGGGAAACAAAATGTTCTGAATGCATCCAGAGTAATATACAATGGGTCCATTCGCGAAACACCAAGCAACAGCATAAATTTTAACATGCTGTAGTTACAACAGTCCCAGGACAGCAGTACTGTACAAAGAGATATTTATGCTATTTTCAAAATGTTTATTGGCAAGAATATGTTTGACATCATATAGTCATCGGTCAATACCATTGTCGACCTGGTGCCATATTTCTTTATGCATTCAAAGTGTGTGCTTTATTTGTTCTGTGTTATCAGTGGGTATAGTTGATGTGATCTTTTCAGTGACAAGACTTGTCAGCTACTCGCAATATTGATGTGATTGATTTTCAGCGTCTGTGTTAACAATTTTATTTTGAATCTCCGCAGTCCTTCTATAAACGAGCTGTGAAAATCTATTGCCAAACCTGTCTGTACTGGGACTTTCAACATTTTGCATTTCGATATCCAAATTCGCTCAAAATTTGGCATCCATCACAACATGCAGACACAATTAAAGTGGAATGTCTGCTTGATTTGCATAAACTGAGGGGTATATTGTGATTTATTCCATTTCACATGACCAACTCTTCTCCAATCAGCTTGGCACACTAGATTATGAGAGATGACAGTGCTTATTATTCATTTCTCCAGATTGTGGAGGTGATTTTATACTTGTATCACTGTGATAAGTTAAAGAGCGGTAGTTGTCACGCTGCGTCCTGTTCGATATGGGACTCATAGCGACGTATACAACCCGTGTAAAATACATTGTTTATTTACATGAAATTCGAACACGCGCTGCGCAACGACCACCGCGCTTTAAAACACATTCAAAATAAAGTTACTTTTACTATACCTATTTCAATAGGTGATTTTCCGTTCAACTGCGAGATCTCGCGAGATGCATGAGAGACGCGCGTCGAACGTCTACCGCAAAAATCGAACGATTTGATTTTGAACTGGAATTTCATTATTTCATAGATCATATCGACCGACCGATCTTCGACAGAGGAATATTGCTTTTGAATACCCTCACTTAATCGAAATTGTCTATCATCAAATGTGTACAGCACATTATTAAGCATGGAAATGCCCCCAAAATATTTTCGCGTTTGTCGAATCCCACGCTTTGTTTGACGCCACTACGACGCTATGACCTTTGTTTGTCCTGTTTTTACGTTCGATTTCACACATAACGCGGGATTCTCGCAGTGTACAGAAAATGGCCTATTGTTATGTGTGTTTAACTGACTGTCCTTTTCATATATTAGCTTCCTCAGGTCACACAGTGAAAAAGTTTACAAAAGATGGAAAGTTGATGCAGATAATTGGTACTGCAGGAATTGCTGGCACATCATTAAAGCCATTACAGTTTGATCACGTTGCTGATCTTGCATTTGATACACATGGTGATATGTACATAGCAGATGGAGATGGCGGTTTGAATAACAGAATTGTCAAATTAGATAAAAGTAGGTGCTACAAATTAACATAGTCTTTATAGTTTTATTAATTTTTTACTTTTTATCTAGCTAGTTTTATTATTTTAGTCTTTTGTTATTTACCATACTATACCCACTGATAGTTTTGGTTGTGTAATAAAGTTATTATTATTTATTTTTATTTATATCTGTGCTACATAAAAAGATGTTTTCTATTTTTTAGCTTCGCTGTCGACTTTGAGCTTATCATATGAGTGATTGTCCGTCGTCGTCGTCCGTGTCAATGTTTTACTTTTTCGACTTCTTCTTGAAAACTACAAGTCTGAATACTTGGTGTATATGTACCTTGGGTAAACCTCTCTCAGATTTGTTCATTTTGTAATGATATCTTCAATTCTCTAATTTTGGTGAATATTTTTGTCATTTTTGGTAAAAAGTGATATTTTCGACTTCTTGTTAAAAATCGCAAGTCTGATTGCTTTGATATTACATATATAGGTACTACATGTTGATCTCTCTCAGATTTGTTTATTTCGTGATAATATCTTTAATTCTCTAATTTTGATGAAAATTTTTGTCATTTTTGTTAAAAAGTGATATTTTCGACTTCTTGTAAAAAACGGCAAGTCCGATTGCTTTGATATTACATATATAGGTACTGCATGTGGACCTCTCTCCGATTTGTTCATTTCGTGATGATATCTTTAATTCTCTAATTTTGATGAATATTTTTGTCTTTTTTGGTAAAAAGTGATATTTTCGACTTCTTGTTAAAAACGGCAGGTCTGATTGCTTTGATATTACCGTACTCGACCGCGTTAGCGCCCAGGGACCTCAACTCAGAAAATCAGGGGTGGGCGCTTACCCGAGCACCCCCCTCGAAAAAGAGTGCAAATGAAAAATGTTATTCATCAAGTGACAGATTACATCTTTGAGGGATAATCAAATTACGAAATTAGTTGAGTCGTCATTGATTTTCACAATGAAGAAACAAAAATGATCACAAAAAATATGCACATTTTATTACAATATTAATTACGTACCACCAGAATTAACGAAATTAAAAACATTAGAGTTTGTTGGAACACAGTCGAAGTCAAAATTGTCATATTATCTCCACTGACGAAGGTGTTGGATCGTACGCAAACTCTCGATGAAAATCGCTTTCCGCCATGATGCATTTGCAGATTTTACCTGCAGCAGCGTCCTTAGACCTAATGGGTCAAGTTGGTTATTAACCAATCAAAATGCTGTGTTGTACTGACGCAATTCTTCTGAAATTCCCGAAGACTTTCTGGTAACGCAATGCGGAAATGAATTATTGAAGTTGAAGTATGATCTGTTGGAATTGATTTCAGAGAATAAACGACATGGTTTTTTCAAAAAACTAGTAACTCGCCATTTTTGAGAGGTAAACTAAATATGGCATGAAATATTTACCGCATTTTACTTGTATTATCAGGTCATTGTCGAAGCGTAGTTTACGCATGGTTACCGTGTTCTACGCATTCACAACATGTTCACAGCGGTCGATATCCATGCTTTATCATATATAAACGATTACCAGGATTTGTTATGCAAAACCAAGTTTTAAATTACTTGCATTTTGAAGAGGTGGGCGCTTTGCCAAATGTGACCCCAAATATAAAAATTGCGCAAAAGTGGGGGGTGGGCGCTTGCCCGGGCATGGGCGCTAACACGATCGAGTACGGTATATATATATATAGGTACTACATGTGGATCTCTCTCAGATTTGTTCAATTCACTACGTTCAATTACCCACCATAGACTCCGGTCAATCAAAATGACTATTTTGAACTGTAGGCATTAATCAGTGATTCTGCCGGTGACTGAGAGATAGAATCTAGGTCAGGGAAAGACCCATGACCTCAAGATTCTTTTACCCCTTACGTCACGAACCGACGTGACTGAGGCAACATGGCAGCGGCATAGGTAGCCGTCCATCACTCTTCATTTTTCTCCGCCTCGTCGGGGAATGATTCTGAGCGGATCTGTCTGGCTCTGTTGTTTTTTCCTGTCTGGGTTTCTAGCGTGGGGCATCGCCGCAGCCGCGGCATCCGACATTCTAGCTGGTAGGATAAATTTTTCTTGTCTTTTTACCCTCGTGTCGTCTTCCCCTTTGGCTGTTATGTATTTCCACAACAAAGAATTAAAACCCGGCGCCACTACGTAACCACATGTCGGTTTCATGGCGGCACCTTTTCAACTGTAATTCGTTTCCCTGATGCATGTCGTCTTTTATTTTTAATGTATTTAGAAATGGACAGATGCACTGGCAACGCCAGAGGCTCACTGCCGGTATTATCTCCTCAGTTTATGAGGCGGATCTGTACTCAGTGTACACAGCAATAAATTTGCAGGAATGGAACCCGCATACAAAGTGCTATCGTTGTTTCACATGCGTTCGGGGTTCGGGTGTCTGCCCAGAGAATATTTGTAATCGCTGGGGTTCGGAAGCCTGGGAGTTGTTCCAGCAGTATATCAAAATAGCCGAGACTGACCGCGTCGCTCGCTGGCGAAAAGGTTGCGCGGAAAGTGCTACCAGCATGGGTATGAGTGAGTTGTGCATTGACATGAGTGATAAGTCCTCGCGCTCGGCTACCGGTTCTCATACCGGAATACCAAGCAAAGGGCCCAATAGTGAGGGTGCCAATATTTTTCGGTCTGCCCCCGCTGATCGGAGGGCATCTACACAGTCTGTTGCTTCAGGCAGTGGGTTACCCAACTTTACCGGCAACAGCGAGGCTGTGCCCCTGGAGGTCTTTCCTCCTATGGGGGCCATGCTGGGTCCCGTTGTGGACCCATCCTCGCACGGCACCGGTTTTTCCGCTGAAATGAGGGCATTGGTCGAAGGACTGTCAGGGCAAATTGCGTCCCTGGCAGGCAGAGTAGATCACCTGCAGGCGGAGCGAGCTGTCTCCACTGCGGCCTCTCAGCCGGCAAGTAGGAAGAAACACAGAAAGCACCGTTCGCATTCTAGACACATCTCTTCCGGGGATGGGCCTGCATTCGGCAAGAGATCAGGCTACAGCTTAGTAACCCCGGTGATCTCCGGGGAGGCTCACCTCACGGTAGAGGAGAAACCCCCCCTCTTGCAACCGCCGAACCCATGGCCACAGATCCCTGTTGCACGCAGATTGCGCCGGTGCATTCCGGCTTGGAGGCAGCGGGTAACCGACCCCTGGACGCTCCATGCGGTCACACAGGGTTACAGAATACCACTGACATCTCCTCCGTCCCTGTCGGTGTTCCACCCGTTGCGGGCACTGCCAGGGGACCCCCACAAGGCGGAAGCAATCAGACAGGAAGTAGACAGTTTGCTAAGAAAGGGCGCCATACACAGAATAGTTCAGCCGGCACCAAGTCTGGGCTTCTACTCAAATGTATTCGTAGTACCAAAATCTACAGGCGGCTGGCATCCGGTTCTGGACCTAAGCAGACTGGTTTACCAGTATGTGCTTCTCGATCGGTTCCGCATGGAGACACCATCCAGTGTCCTACTCTCCATCCACCGGCTCGACTGGCTAGCCTCTTTAGACTTATGCGACGCTTACCTGCACATACCGATGTACCCAGCGAGTTGCCCTCTCCTTTGATTCGCCCATCTGGGCCAAGTATTCGAATTTCAGGTGCTCCCCTTCGGGTTATCCACAGCGCCCTACGTGTTCACCAGAGTGGTGAATCAGGTAGTACTGCTGCTCCACCAAATGTCGGTACACATCAATCCGTACCTAGACGACTGGTTGATACACAACCCAGACAATGGGTTATTAGCCAGACATGTAAGGCTTACGCAGGATTTACTTCACCAGTTGGGCTTTCTAGTAAATCACAAAAAGTCCCATCTCGACCCGACTCAACAGTTGGTGTTTCTGGGCATGGAGTTCGACACCGAAGTAGGCCTGGTTCGCCCATCTCAAGCGCGTTGCCTAGCGCTAAGCAACCTAGCAGAACGCCTAGTCAGCGTTCCTTCAGTGTCTCTCAGAGAACTAATGCGGCTCATCGGAATGATGACCTCTGTTCGAAGGGTAGTTCCCCAGGCCGCACTACGCAGCCGCCTGGTCCAACGCTTGTTATTGGAACACCGAGCTCACCTATGGTAACTAAACAGGCGAGTATTGATCCCGGACCAAGTATAAAAGGAAACCCTGTCCTGGTGGTCGTCACTGACCAATCTCAGACAGGGGTCCCCTTGGACCCACTCGTCACAACTATGACTCTGGTAACAGACGCCTCCCTCCAAGGGTGGGAAGCGCATCTATTGGACAAGCAAGCCCAAGGAATATGGCCCTCGCAGTGGATTTGGGACCACCATATCAACTGGCTCGAGCTGAAAACAGTGCACCTAGCACTTTCACGCTTTCGACCCGAAGTTCGGGACCACAGAGTCCTGCTCCGCACAGACAACACAGTGGTGGTCTCCAACATCAACAAGGAGGGGGTACGCGTTCCACATCGTTGTCGGTCCTAGCAGAGCAAATTCTCCTTTGGTGCCTGGAATACAATGTGGAGCTAACCGCACACCACCTTCCAGGGGTGAGAAACGGTCTGGCAGACGCCCTTTCGAGGCGCCTCCGTCTCCAGAATACGGAGTGGCAGATCCCCCAGTGGGTAGCCTCCAAGCTGTTTCGGCTGTGGAACGGTCCAAAGATAGACCTGTTCGCCGCACCCCGGAACGCCAAGCTCCCGACGTACGTAACACTCTTGCCGACACCAGGAGCCTAGGCCGTGGATGCCTTATCGATCCCCTGGTCCCACATGGATGCGTACGCCTTTCCTCCCTTCCCGCTAATTCACCGGGTACTGGAGAAACTTCGACATGAGCCCACCTGCATATTAACTCTGGTGGCGCCCAATTGGCCGACCAAGGCCTGGTTTCCGCTCCTGCTGGAAATGATAGTCAAAACAACGGTAGTACTGCCAGACATACCGGACTTACTGTCCCAACCGGATGGCACACTACCAACAAGCCCAGCAGTGTACCACTTACACGCATGGAGGCTGCTCTCAGTAGACTCGCACAGACGGAAGGTCTATCTAAGCGGGCTGCCAACGTCCTGGCCAGGGCGAACAGGGATTCCACCAACGCTGCCTACAACTCGAAATGGCGAGCATACACCAGTTGGTGTAGTGGAAGGGAGATTGATCCATGCCATCCCTCTATCGGCCAGGTACCAGACTTCTTTGTCCACTTGTTTGACGAAGTGGGTCTGTCCTACGCAACGATCGTTGGCTACAGGTCAGCCTTGTCCCCTGCCATAGAAAACTTTTTGGGGTCAAGTCTAGCCGATTGTCCCATTATTAGGAGACTGTTTACTGCTTTCCATAATCAGAGGCCCAGGGCCCGTTCAAGGGAACCGCCCAATTGGGACCTGTCGGTTGTTTTATCAGCCCTAAGCAGACCTCCCTTTGAGCCCCTCGTTTCAGCACCACTCAAGTTTTTGATGTGGAAAACAGTCTTCCTACTAGCCCTTGCCTCAGGTGGGCGCCGGTCAGAGCTAGGCGCACTGTCCTTCGCGGACAGTTGTGCCGCCTTTATGGACGATCAAGTTGTACTGAAGACACGAATTGGGTTTCTCGCCAAGAACCAAATCCCAGGACACGATCCTCAACCGATCGTCATCCCCAGGTTGGCAAATATTGTCGGTCCGGAGGATGAGAAGGAATTGCTTCTCTGCCCGGTCTGAGCGCTAAGTTGCTATGAGAACCGTACCAGGTTTTCCAGACAGGGAACCAAACACATGTTTTTGTGTTACGGCCCTGGCAAACAGGATAAGCTGGCTTCTCTGACTTCCATCTCCAGGTGGATTACTGCGACTGTACTGGAGGTCTATAATACACTATCCTCCTCAACACAGACTTTGCAGAGACACCAAGTACGAGCACATGAGGTCTGTGCTATTGCTAACTTACTAGCGCTAGCGTCGGGCGCCCCCCTCGAACACATTCTGAGGGCAGGCTTCTGGAGAACGCAGAACGTCTTCATCAACTACTACCTAAGAGACGCCCAATCTATTGAGCAGGGTCTCTTCAGGTTTGGCCCCGTCGTAGCGGGTCAGGACTTGTTTGCTGACCCAGCCCGAACGACCGCAGGGGCCTCTGCGCATAGGCGATAAGTCAGTCTCGGCATTTTTGCGGGCAGATTGTCTGTACCACTAGCACTTCCTGGAAGCTCCCAGGTTTCGCTTCTGTCGACCTACGCCCTCATGCGAACTGTTTCGGTCCTACTTACAAGCTTATCACCTCCAAATTCGGCTTGGGTCTAGCTTTCTTGGGTGCACCGAACCCTGTCACCACAGCAGCATTGGCTTCTTGCTTCGGGGACAGCACAGGCAAGGTAAGACACCACCCTTCTTGGGTCTTAGCTAAGGTTTTGACTGGGCTGGGAAAAGACTTTCATCATTCTCTTTTTTTTTTCTGTTTGCTCGGACAAACCCGCCACCTATCGGTGTCTGACTCATAGTCATTTTGACTGACCGGAGTCTATG